AACTCCAAGCTGGGGCATCTCTGATTTGTTACTGGTTAAAACAAAACCGGAAGAAGCGGTCCACAGCCCACTCTGACCGACTCTGTGTCACAGGGCTCCTCCCTCTTCACACAGCAGGAACCCTGGTCCGCAGCTCTAGGATCGCCCGCCAATCAGCCTGACGTCATAGCTCAGAGGCGAGCAAATAGGCGGAGCAATGCTCCAGCTTGCCTGACGTTTTCTGCAGTTCAGGACTGAGAGTTTCTTGAAAGAATCAGAATGGTTGGTCTCTTAGCTCTGGAACCATAGAGAGAGTGGTTAATAAACTGAGCTCCCTAGAGCAGTTCTGTGTCCATGACCTCAAGGTCATTTCATCAGATTTCTGGACGTTTACGAAAGCCTCCCCATGTGACTCAGGGTGTGTTACTGGGTGGAGACCCTGCTGCTCCACACCCAGGAGGGGCGGTGTGCTCCCCACCTCGCCCACACACAGCTCACAAGGGCTGGTCGGTCCTGGCTATTCACTTCAATAACCCGTGAACTAACTCTCTCTCCTCTCTCTCCACTGTCCTTTCCCCATCTCTTTCTTTCTCTCCTTTTCTTTATTGTTTTTTTTTTAAAGTATGTGTGCATGTGTGCAGTGAGTACAGGGTCCTGGGGAGTCCAGGGGGATCAGATTCCCCTGGAAATGGGGTTAAAGGGCCGATGTAAGGCCCTTACTGTGAGTGTTGGGAATCAAACTTGGACTCTTAACCACTCTCTGGCCATCTCTCCGGTCCCCAACAGGCTGCCTCTTGTTCCATCTCTAAGTGTTTACTCCTCTAATACTAAGCGATAAACCCACACAAAGATCTGTAAGCAGCTTTATTTGTAAAACCCCTAAAATGAGACAACCCACATCTCCATCAGCAGATGAACGGAACTTATCTGCACGGCCGGGTCCTACCCAGCCATAAAGAGAATGAACCGGTGATACCTGTAATAAGTTTTGAATATATCTGTGCATGGCGAGTGAAAAGAGCCAGACACCCACACACTATATTTATTTAAAGTTTATTTATTTATTTATCCCATTTATTTAAAGTTTTACCAGGTGCTCTGAGGATAACTACAGAAGTCTGGAAGCCAGGTCCGGCCCGAGAGAGAGCAGTGACAGTTCTCTCCACTAGGTGGCGCCTGGACACTTTCCTGGAACATGATTTTCAGACAGGCTTGAGAAGCAAGACTCATAACCCGGTCTAGATTCACGACATAGTGCAGAAAGCCAAAGAGACTTGTTGAAACAGAAAATAACAACCAGCGAGGGAGTCAGCAGGCCCATGTTGCAATAACCTAGGTTTCAGAGGACAGAAAACAGAGCTATTTTCTTGAGGGCCAGGTAACTCCGAGAGAGTAAATTAATGAATTTCATAAGAACGAAAGACGTCCTAGGCTGTAGCTGAGAGCCCGAACCACTGCATCTGGGGACCACAGTCATTTCTTCGTTACGGGCCGTTCCTTGTCTTTTTGAATATATTTTAAAAAGATTTTTGTCGTTATTAATGTATTTTATTTCGTTTTTTAAAAACAATCTTTTCTCATTTTATATACCAATCCCAATTCCCACTCCCTTCCCTCCTCCTGCTCTCCCCACCTTCCCCCCATCCCAGCCCCATCCACTCCTCAGAGTTCCCGTGAGGCGTCAACAAAGTCTGACACACCACTTTGAGGTAGGACCAAGGCCCTTCCCCCTATATCTAGACTGAACAAGGTATCCCTCCAAAGAGAACGGGCTCCAAGAAGCCAGTTCAAGCACTCGGGATAAATCCTGCTCCCTCCTCCAGGGGCCCCACAGACTGCCCCAGACACTCAGCTGTCACCCATATGCAGAGGGCCTAGTTTGGTACCACGCAGGTTTCCCAGCTGTCTGTGAGTCCGGAGTTAGTGGGCTTCCACTAGCTCAGGTCAGCTGTTTCTGTGAGCATCCCCATCATGGTCTTGACCGCCTTGTGAAGATTTATTATTTTACTGAGGTGTATGTGACCCAGACTCACAGTCTAGAGTTCAGTTCTTTACATAGACTAGTACTTAAGGGTAAACAGTGTCTCTTATAGCCATCTGTACTCTACTGATGTAGGTGGGTCTTCTATCTATCTGTTGCTTTCATTAATAAATTAATTAATAAAGAAAACTGCCTGGCCTGATAGGTCAGAACATAGGTAGGCGGGGAAGACAGAACTGAATTCTGGGAGGAAGAAAGCAGAGTCAGAGAGCCACCCACCATGAAGCTGTCAGGTCAAACATGCTGAATCTCTCCTGGTAAGCCACGACCACGTGGTGATATACAGATTATTAGAAATGGGTTGAATCAATATGTAAGAGTTAGCCAATAAGAGGCTAGATATAATGGGCCAAGCAGTGATTAAAAGAATACAGTTTCTGTGTAATTATTTCAGGTAAAGCTAGCCGGGTGAGCGGTGGGAAGCAGCCCGCTGTTCCTTTTACAGATTGGCGTCCAGGCGGGTGGCGGGATGCAGCCCACTGCTCCTTTTATACTCCACCCTACCCAGTGACCCTCTCTCCAGCCGACTGTCAGAAGGGGCTGGAGAGATGGCTCAGCATTTAAGGGCACCGGCTGCTCCTTGAGAGGATCTGCATTTGAGCCCCATCTTGTGGCTCACAACTGTCTGTAACTCCGGTTCCGGGAGCCAATGCCCTCTCCTCATCTCCATGAACCCTGAATGCACATAGTGCATGGACATACATGCAGTCAAAATACTCAACACACTAAATGTATAATGTTTTAATGAATTTAAGATGGTCTCCTGATTAGCAGTTTTTAGGCAGTCCAGGTCATAGCTACTTTATTATGAAACCTGAGCCCTAGTTACATAATTTGTTGTAAGGAGGTCACTTGTTTGTCCCTGCTGCCCAGCCGCCCAGAACCAAAATAACCACATAGAAACCATATTATTTAAATTGCTGCTTGGCCCATTAGCTCTAGCTTCCTATTTGCTAACTCTTACATCTTAATTTAACCCATCTGTATTAATCGGTGCATCACCACAAGGTCGTGGCTTATCAGCAAAGTTTCAGCATCTGTCTCCCGCAGGGCTACATGGCTTCTCTCTGACTCTGCCTCCTTCCTCCCAGCATTCAGTTTAGTTCACCACTACCCCACCACCACCACATTCCCTGCCTACCTAAGTTCCCTGCGCAGGTGCAAGACAGTTTCTTTATTAACCAATGGTATTCACAGCATACAGAGGAAATTTCCACATCAATAATCAGATTGGAGATCTTAAAACATTTGGCAACATTAGTTTCTGAGCGTACAATAGCCAAAAACTTAAAACCCAAGCACATAATGACTCCAAGGTGTTTCTGACAACATTGAATCACCCGACTTCCCTGCAGCCTTGGTTCTCAACTCACTCTTAAGTGCCCATGCGCCACATCTTAAAGTCCCAGCAAACACTGCCTAACTCAGATTTGAGACTATTGTATGTAATGAGTTTCAATGCTTGACTGTACATACAAATTTTCTTCTGGTATAGAAACATAAAGGCTTAATTACCGAAAACAGAGACTCAATATTTTCCTACTGCCATTCCTCATCATGTGTCATGTCAGATTTATTTGACTGTATTCAAAGGGCTAATTAACTTATTTTACTGCTCTGCCCCTCTGCTGTAATTACAGTGTGTGCACCTTTACATCCTGCTGTAGATTATGAGTTTATGTGTTTTTGTTTTTCTGGTGCTGGGATTAGATCTATAGCTGCTCTCACAGTAGGCCAGTGCTCAGTCACTAATCTACACCCCCAGCCCTCTTAAATGGGGGCCTTTTGGCTTTGTTTAGAGTTTCTGGTTGCTGCCGTTGGTATCGCAGTGCTGAGGATCTAACCTTGTGTCTTGACATGCTGTGCCATTGAGCTATATTCTAGTCCCAAATGTTTGATTTGCTGCCTTGAATTTTATAGAATAAAATAAAATCATTAAGTGAGTTTTTTGACATGGACAAAAAAGGATTTCCAGCATTTCTGGAATGGCCCTAAACATACATCAGCCATTTTGTATTATGTATTTCTGTGAAGCAGCATCCTCAGGTTTGACAATCATAAAGTCGAAATACCATCAACTCTGAAAAACCGTGAAGATGCTCTATGTCTTGCGGTAGCAAGCATTCCGCTGACATTTAATTCTTCAAGTAAAATTAAGCAAGCACACATATGTGCATCAGTACAAAAACTTGCTTTCATTGTTAATGCACAGTAAAATATTTCGTTTTGTTTTTGTTTAGTTTGCTTTCGTTTTCTGAGGCAGGGTCGTGTTTCCCAGGCGGGCCTTGACCTCCACCCCCAACCGCTTGGGTAGACAGGCCTGCACCACCGTACCTGACTTCAAAGAACCGTTGTTGGATTTATAGACCTATATCCCAAGGTCCCACTTGAAAAGCGTTAAAAGTGGGGAAAGTTTAAGCAACCAACGCTCTGGGATTAGGATCCTTAAATTGAGACCTCGTGCCGGTAGCCAGTGCATGCTTGCAGGGCACTCATCAGGAAAATGCTTTTTAGGGCTCTCAGAACTGCAGATGTTCTTTTATCGGTGAATCCGGTGTTCTTATCGTTTAAGGCCTCATCCTCCGACAAACGGGCACAGAGCCGGGTGCAGCGACAGGTACCAACCATGCCCAGCCTCGGTCGATGAAAGTGTTGACACTCGTCCCACAAGCGCATGTGCCCTGGCTGACTGCCCGCCACACCTACGCTTCTGCACCACGGAAGACCCTGGAAGGACGGTGGGAGGGTGTGCGCGAGGTACCCAGAGAGGGCTGGAGGAGGAGGAAAAGAAGGAGGAGGAGGAAGAGAAGGAGGAAGAAAAGGAGGAAGAGAAGGAGGAGAAGAGAGGGAAGGAGGAGAGGAGAAGGGGGAAGGAGGAAGAGTAGGTGGAGGAGGTGGTGGTCGTTGTGATGATGGTTAGGCGCGTCACGTGACTGCACGCGAAGTGGGGCGGAGCCGGGGCTCTAGGACGCTGCCTGGTCGCCTAGCAACAGCTGAGCACGGAAACATGAACACTGTGGGTGACCGGGAGCTTCAGGCCAAGGAATATTTAGAAAAACATCGGATAATGGAGCTGCTGAGCCAACTCACCAGCTTCCTCCTCTTTGAGCGACCAAGTAAGGCTTGCCTCCATAGGCTTTCTGTCTACCTCTGCCCAGGCAAAGGGTCCCCAGTCCGCTGCTTCGCTCCCCACGCCCTGCTCTTCCCACTCACTCCATCCCCTGCCTCCAGACGAGTGGAGCCCTGTAGTTGTCTATTGACTTGTGACCCCACCCCACTCCCCAGTCCAACATGATAAATGGTTCTCGGTGCCTGCTCAGTGCTGCAGGGAGGTTGGGAGAGTCGGGACCGCCTAGCCCCCAAGTCCACCCCTTAGTTATGAGCGCTTGGGAAAGGACAGGAACGCCAGTCTCCACCATTGGAAAATGGAGATAATAGTACCAATCTCATGAGAATGGAAGTGGGACAGGGTATTAAATGAATTACAGCTCAACCAACCTTGGCAGGGCAAGTGACAGATCTTTTCATTTCTAAGGCATCTTTAATTTAGGAAGGGGACTAAACAATTGATAGCCTGAGTTGCCAGGATCCTCCTGGAGAGCCAGGTTTTCCTGGCATTTTTCTACATTAGATCCTTTCTAATTTGGGGTTATTTCATAAGCTTTGTTGATGTACAGTAAAAGTTATGTTGAGCTGAAAATGGCATTGTCTGCTCTCACAGTGATTGGAGCCTGCCAGCATTCACGACAAGTCTCTAAAATTTCAAAATGTTCATTTAATTCTGTGCAAAGAAACAGAAATAACATCCTGAATTGGAAAAGAAGAAAACAAGCATGACCTCCTAGGGAACTGAGGAAAGTCTTTCAAAATATTTTATTTAAAAAATGTATTTATTTTAAACATGTATAGGGGTTTTGTGAATCACGAGCGAGCCTGGTGCCCGAGGAGGTCAGAAGAGAGATTCTGGAGTTACCCGTAGATAGGATCCACCATATGGGTGCTAGTGCCTGAACCAGGTCCTCCTCAGGGACAAGAGCACGTAACTACTAACCTAACTCTCCTTGCCATTAAATGTAAAACACAAAGTTAGAACGGCCAGTGTTCCAAACTGTCAATACGATTTTCAGACAAATGTGAACAGCTAATGTGTGTGCGTGTGTGTGTGCATGTGTGTATGTTATGCTTGGATTACATTTCCTTTGTTTTTTTCCTCTGAAGTTAACAACACTACAATTTTATTTTATTTTATTTTTGGTTTTTTGAGACAGGGTTTCTTTGTGGCTTTGTAGCCTGTCCTGGAACTAGCTCTTGTAGACCAGGCTGGCCGTGAACTCAAAGAGATCTGCCTGCCTCTGCCTCCCGAGTGCTGGGATTAAAGGTGTGCACCACCACCGCCACTGCCTGGCTTACAATTGTAATTTTTGCTCAGTTTTCTGTGTATTGCTAATTCTTCCACATATATCTCTGTCTGTATATACACAGATATCTCCCCATGTACATCTCTCAGCAGGTAACTGTTATCTCTAATAACTGGGACCCTAACTCTCAGTCTTCCTGGTCTAATGGGTCCCATTACTAACTCATATGTTGCTAGGGGTCTCAGTTTACACTGGTGTATCCAGATTGTTCATCTTGTTCAAAATATTGAAGAATCACACAGAATAGAGAGAAGCTAAGGATTTTATCCAGCAGCAAACCGACCAGTTAGACTCCAAGAGAGCCTTGGGCTCCGAGTGAGGGGCTCTCAGGAGCCACTCGTTACTTCCTAAGGTCTCCTTTTCATTTCAAAAAGAGGGGGTGTTGTTTGCTAAGGGTAAATTAGAGCAGACATAGTTTTCTGATTTTTCTCTTCCTTTCTTTAATATAATATGTATCCATTCATTTATTCAGTGCATGCATGTGTGCATGTGTGTGAGGGTTGGAGGACAACATGAGGAGTCTGTCCTCTCTTCCACTGTGGAGTCCCAGGATCAGATTCCGGCAGTCCATCTCAGTGACAGGTGCCGAGCCAGCTGCCTGCTCTGCCTGTGATGAAGGATAGACCTGGTTATGTAAGCCTTTGTTTACTGTGTGTTCCCTATATGATGCATCTAATTTTAACCATACACACTTGTAATCGTGAGTATTTGTAAGATGGAAAACATGGGTTTTCTGCAAGTTCACTTTGAGGACACATTTGCCCAGCTGTTCACACACCCGAGTCTCGGTGGGTAAGCCCATTACACCTAGTTTCAGGACATAGCTGGCCACAAAAGTTTTACCAAGAATTGCAATGGAACTTAAAGGTCAGAGTGACCCAAGTGCCTTTGTCTGGAGAGTGTAGATGCAACTCAATGCAGGTGGGGGTTCCCAGGTTGCTAAGTGTATTGTTTGTTTGTAAAAGGGTGTGTGTGTGTGTGTGTGTGTGTGTGTGTACAGATAATGACAGAATTATCTGTAGTAGAGATAAAAGCAAACCATGATAGCCTGTGGTCCCAGCAGTTAGGAATCTAGGGCAAGAGAATCTTGTGTTTGAAGTCAGCCTGAGCTACATAGCGAACTACAATTATAAGCTAGCCTGGGATACATAGCAATATCTTATTTCAACACACGCACACACGCACGCATGCACACACACGCATACATAGAGAAAGCAGTAGGAAGTCAGAGAACAGTCAGTGTCACAGAGCCACATATTAATACTGTAAAATCTGTCACATACATAATTATCAGTTTAAAAACTCGAAGGGGGAGCTGTAGAAATGGCTCAGTGCTTATGAACAAGTGCTGCTCATACAAAAATCTGAGCTTGGATCCCAGCACCCACATCAGGAGGCACACAATTGCTCATAACTCTAGTTCTAGAGATTTGATGTCTGCGCGCGCGCGCACGCACACACACACACACACACACACACACACACAGAGTACTGAGAATGTAGCTTAGTAGAGTGCTTGTCAGAACACACGAGACTTGGGTTCAGTCTCCAGCACCATGCAAACCACCCACACACAGTAACATCTGTGTCCTCACACCCACATGGAGGCAGGAGGACTAAGAGTTCAAAGCCAAACTAAGAAAATAAACAAATCCTCGTGGTACTTCTTGAAACATCTATCCTGGTTAAGGTTACTGTTGCTGTGCTGAAACACGGAAGCAACTTAGGGAGGAAAAACTTCATCACTGAGAGAAGTCAGACAGGAACTCCAGCAGAGCAGAGACCCGGAGGCAGGGGCTAATATCACGGCTATGTACGGACGGGTGTTCCAGCAGAGCAGAGACCCGGAGGCAGGGGCTAATATCACGGCTATGTACAGACGGGTGTTCCAGCAGAGCAGAGACCCGGAGGCAGGGGCTAATATAACGGCTATGTATGGACGGGTGTTCCAGCAGAGCAGAGACCCGGAGGCAGGGGCTGATATCACGGCTATGTACGGACGGGTGCTGCTTACCGGCTTGCTCCTCATGACTTGCTCAGCGTGATTTCTTATAGATCCCAGGACCACTAGTCAGACCTCATGGCAGTATTTTTTCAGGTGAGGTCTCCTCCCTTCAGGAGACTCTAGCTTGTGTCAAGTTGACATAAACTAGTCAGCACACATCTTTGGTTGGTTTGTTTTTAAAGACAAGGTTTCACATCTCAGACTGCCCTAGAATTTCCTAGGTAGCTCAGACTGGCCTTGAACTCCTGATCCTTCTGCCTCCACTTCCCCAGGGATGGCTGTAGATGAACACCACCACACCTAGCCTTAAATGCTGTTCAGAGCACCATTCTTAGATAACTGGAAACTTACATACTTCCGACCTACGTCAATATATTAAAAACAATGTTGTGACCACACTATTGTTGTAATATGAAAAGCACCAAGAGTCCTTATGGTGGTTCATTCCGGTTGTCAGCTTGAGGAGGTCTAGAATCATGCGGGAGATGGGCCTCTGGCATGTCTGTGAGCAGCTGTCTTGATGAGGTTAACTGGGATGGGGAAGCTGTCCAGCAGGTGACTCCATTCCCTGGGACACACAGGAAGGAGAGAGAGAGGTGAGCGGAAGCACTTGCCTCTGCCTCCAGCCGGTGGACACACTGTGACCAGCGCCTGCTGGTGGGTACACCACAGCCAGCTCCTGCCAGGAGGTACACTGTCCGTGGCCAGCTTTTTGCCATCGAAGCCACTCCACCTTATGTCCGACTTCTGCCGTGATTGTCATGTTATTTCTGGACAATCGATTGGATTTTCTGTTTTTAAAATTGGTTCAGTAGAAGAGCCTGTTAACCCAGAGCACACCTAGCAGGCCAGCTTCTTCCCTGCACCATGCCCTCTCTCTGTCCTCCTGGTTTCCCAGCTTCTTCCCTGCACCACACCCTCCCTGTCTTTCTGGTTTCCCATCTGCAAATCAGATCAACTGGAGAGCTTTCCCAGGTGTGGCCTCTGAGGCAGTACTCAGTCCTCTAAGGTAGAGCGTCCTGAGCGTGTGTTCTCTGCTGTGGTGTGAGTTCCACGGAAGCGAGACCTGCACCCTGAGTGCCTGGACTCTTTCTAATTGCGACACAGGTATATTTCATGTAAAAACGCGTCTCAACTGTGTACTTGCAGAGAAACCAAGGGAGTACTTAATCCATCTTCTGGAACGGCTGAGGATTGCCAAGGCAACGGGCGTAGCGTTCCCTTTCTTCATGGAAAACTCTAACATTGTGTCGATGTTTGAGATGATGGACTCCTCTGGCAGAGGCTGCATATCCTTTGTGCAGTACAAAGAAGGTCAGTGGGGCCTGCACCGAGCCGTCCGCTCCGTAACTTTCCCCAGCGGGAAGGGCTTCCCTGCTCTACATTTTCTCTTCGCACTTTTGTAGCCCTGAAGAACCTGGGTCTGTGCACCGCAGATGAAGTTCTGCACGATGACGGATGTCTAATAACTCTGGATAAATTCAGAGATGAAGTGTAAGTTTTTAAAAGATATCTTAATAACGTGTTATTATAAGTTATTAATACCATTGCATACAGAGTGCCACTACCCTTTCTTGTTTGCATGTGTGTGTGATACGTGTGCACACATGTGCCAGGCACACATGTGGAGATCAGCGATATCTCAGGTGTCAGTTCTCACCTCTCACCTTGTCTCTTTGTTAGTTTGCTGCTGCTCTGCGTACCCCAGGCTAGCCCACTACCTTACAGGATTCTCCATCTCCACCTCCCACCTTGCTGAAGAAGCAGAGTTCACCCTACTGTGCCAGTTTTACATGGGTTCTGAGGACTCGAACTCTGGTCCTCACGCTTGCACTTTTACCTCCCAAGCCATCTGTCCACCCCCACTCGCTACCCTTGGGCTTTCAGCAATCACTGAGCAAAAGCAGGGAAAGAGAGGGCTAAGGAGAGAGCTGGGGAGGAGGATCTAGAGGCAGCCTTAGTCTTTCCTCAGTAGGAAACCTCACCACTGTGGGGCCTGATGGAATACTCCTTTAATCCCAGCAATCAGAAGGCAGAAGCGGGCAGATCTCTGTGTATTCAAGGACAACCTGATCTACAGAGTGAGTTTCAGGACAGACAGGGCAATACAGAGAGACCCTGTCTAACTCTTAGAAAAGAGGAAATCTCACCAATTCTCAAATACAAGGTGAGGAGACCCAGTCTGCTAGAATTATTAAAGCTCTCAGCTCCACACAGCAGCTAGAAAATCTCTGAATAAACTATAGTGTCAGGTCAGTGAGAAGACTGAGTGTGTAAAAGTGCTTCCTGTGTAAGCCTGAAAATCATAGTGGGATCCTTGGGACTCACGTAAGTGTGGAAAGGGAGAATTGATGACACTAAGTTATCCTCTGATGTCCACATGCATGATGACATGCCCCTACACACACCATACATATACACGCAATCATCATTATAGATTGATATGACTTTAACTATATAGAGCAGGCACGGTGATGTATGTTTGGAATCCCAGTATGTTGTGGGTGGAGTGGCAGGAGAATCATGAGTTCAATACCAGCCTGAGCTATAAAGCAAGTCAATTTCAATCTTTCTGTCTGAAAAAATAGAATAGCACGTATCTTAAAGAGTTTTATCAAAATTACCTGTGTCAAAGTAAAGATCAACAATCTAGGCTCTGTGCAGGCCTAAAAATTAATTTCTTTGGGATTTTATTTATATTTTACGTGTCTGAGGTTTTGCCTAGGTGTGTTTGTGCACCGCATGCATGCAGTGCCCGTGGAGGACAGACAAGGGCAATGCATCCCATGGGGCTGAAGTTACAGCAGTTATGAGTGACCACATGTGTGCCAGGCATTGAACCCACATCCCTCTGGAAGAACAACCTCTTAGAGTTGAACTATCTCTCCAGCCCTTAGCTCAACAATTTTAGACTGAGTTATTACAGCATTGAGATTACTAAGTAGTTGTCATGTCAGAATAAAATTCAATAAAATTTTATAGGTGTAGAAATCTTCTAGGACTTAAGCTCAGTTTGTGGAACAGCTTATTCTCTGAGGATTTATTAATCAAGGGGTCATTGCTTGGGCTGGGGATGGATGTTGGTGGAGCAAGACTCTGACACACACAATCTATTACTTTACATAGCCCAAGGCCAAACAAATGTTAAAGGAGAAGGAGAGTTTGAGATTTTTGCATCATGATGGCTCAGCTGGCAAAGGGTTTTGTTACATGACTTTGAAGAACTGACCAAATTCCCAGCTCATAAGTAAAAGCTGAGCACAGTTGTCTATAGCACCAGCACTGGGAAAAATAGGTGGATTCCAGAGCCAGCCAGTTTAGCCAATCAGTGAGCTCCAGGTTCACTGAGACCACCTCATAAAACAAGGTGGGAAGCAACTGAGGAAGACACTGCACTCCAGCTTCTAGCCTCAAATACACACCTAGACACACACACCCCCCCCACACGCACGCACACACACACACACACATCACACACCCCCACACCACACACGCGCACACACCCATGCACGTGCACACATGCACACGCACACACAGATGTACACACACGCACACACATGCACACACGCACACACACACACAGGTTTTATCTCATAATTTACATAAATATTACCACAGACAAATGATTAGAGCAGTATCTGGTCTCTAAAATATTTCAACCATTGTAACAGAAACGGAGCCAGGAAGAGCGGAGGAGTTGCCCAGTGGTAAAGGGTAAAGTACTCGCCATTGACAAGCAAGAATAAAGAGTTCACTCCTTAGGACCCATGTAAACCCTGGCATGATGGTTTACACTTGTAATGCCTGTCTAGGAGAGGCAGACACAGAAGGAACCCCGGGGCTTGCCCAGAGTCCCAGTGAGAGACTCTGTCTCCAAAACAATACCCAAGGATGACCTCTGACCTCTACAGGCACACACACGCACACCTGCACATGAACGCACGCACAAATACAACTAAGAAATACTTTAAATGGAAGGACACGAGAATTGAAAATTAGGAACAACAATAGCTCAACCACCATCTCATAAAACTTCTGTGCTGTTTTTTGTTTGTTGGTTGGTTTTTCTGATGAGACAGCATCTCACTGTGTTGCCAGGTGAGTCTTGAAACCACAGTGGTCTTCTCCTTCAGGCAGAGTGCTGGAATTGTAGGTGTCTTCCACTTAGATAAACATATTGAATTCCCAAACTGGATTTGAATTCCCAAACTGGATACAGGAACCTCAGTTACCAACATACATCCATAAATAAGTGTATCCTTTTGTTGTTGGTGGTTTTTTTTTCTATTTTTGTTTGGTTTTTTTTTGTTTTGTTTTTCAAAACAGGATTTCTGTGTGTAACAGTCTTGGCTGTCCTGGAACTCACTTTGTATCCCAGGCTGGCCTCCAACTCACTGAGATCCACCTTCCTCTGCCTTCCAAGAGCTGGGATTACAGGATTGGGCCACCACTGCCGGAGCATAAATAAGTATTGCTACAATGTATTGTTTGACTTTCCACAACAGCTCCCTTGATTAGCAAGGTGGAGGTCAGCTGTGGCTGACCTTTGCCCTCACACAGTCTTCAGCAGTCTGCATTCCTATTTGTAATTCCTCTGCTTCCCACAGCTGAGTTTTCTGTTCTTTGTTTTCCCAGGAACAGGAGAATGCAGGAAATATGGTCATCGTTTTAGTGACATTGTAACTCAAGCTAATAAATGATTCTACCACGTTTTCATTTGTCCACTTTGGTTCACTCAGAACTTTATCAGACGGTTTCAGTCCAGCTGCAGCAGAACTGTGCGTGTGCTCGTTTTCTATTTACTCTCCCAGTGATCGATCAGCAAATAGCACTGAACTAGATGCGAGGACACAAGTCCAACGCGTGTTCTACGCCTGGTTCTGGTCAACTTCCTGAGGATGTGGGCCACACCCATTTGGTCTCCCTATGGTGTTTTGAAAAGATAATGCATCCAGATGAATGTGTTAAGGCTTTGTCTTTTTTTAAAAATATTTTAGGTTTTATTTTATGTGCATATTTTGCTTGCATGTATGTGTGTGTGCACCACGTGTGTGCCTGGTGCTTGTGGAGGTCAGAAGAGGGTGTCAGATACCCCAGAACTGGAGTTATGGATGCTTGTTAGTCACCATGGGTGCTGAGAACCAAACCCTGTTGGAAGGCCTTGCTGGTCAGAAGTCACAGCTTGTCACAGCCTGGCAGCTTTTTCCAAAGCTCATGTGGGACTGCCTCCCCTCAGGTGAGACTTCCATTCTCCACCTGCTGTCACTTGAAGAGTGTCCCTGAACCCAGAGGACAGCCCAAGCTCTCTCTACGGCTGGATGCCTGATTTATCTTTAGCTAGTCCCTTGGCAGTTTTCTGCTAGTTTTTCCCCTGCTGTCTGTATGGTAACTAAGATTTGTACTAGGAGTTTTGCTATAGGACCCTGCTACCACATACAAAGCCTTATGATAGGAACATGCCTCTTAATACATACTAGGGTCTGTCCTCAGGCTTCCCAATGCTGTATATTCTTTTCACTCTGAAATAAAGTTGAGCTGATTCACAGAAGTCATTTGGAGGCCCCTGTACTCACAGGCATACGAAACCTGTTCCCTGCTTCTGCTCTGCCCACTCTCACGGACCAATGCAGCCAACAATCTCAAGTGAGAAACAGAAATGCAAAACTCTAGTCCTCTGCAAGAGCAATAAGTGCTCTTAACTGTTCAGCCATCTTCCCAGCTCCCGATTTTGTTATGGCAACAGCTATCTGAACCTCTGAGTTGTTAAAAAGAAGCTAACTCCTCTAGCATTTGGTTACACCGATATTTACGGTTAGATGTTAGGCTTACTGTTTTAAAATAGCTTCCTGGTCTCTTGCAACAGTGAGAAAACAGGGGAAAGATTCCATGTCCGTCATTGAAATGAACGGCAAGACTTGTCATAAGCAAAGAGCAATCCATGTGACGGCTGCCTTCACTGGTGCAGCCTGCCAGTTCACTGATCTGCCTCCTGATGGATGTATAATCCAGCTTCTCCGCCAGCATTTGTCAGAAACTCCCGAATAAGTAGAAACAGCTCATGAGTTTCAAGAGGCGCTAAACACAGTGAAGAATACTAATTTACTAAACCTTGGCCCAGCATTGAAGCAACTGAAGAGCTTAAAAGAAAGTCAGGTTATATTGGACCTTTGCCGTTTTAGGCCCAGATCAATAAAACCAAACTTCTCCCCATCACAGTATACTTTCCTGGCGAGGAACAAGACATCTGTCTCTGGGTTTGATGCATGCTCCATGGGTACCAACACCTCTGCATTTTTACCTGGGTTTGGGAAAGAGCAGCTGCCCTCTGCTGGCCACACCTGCATAACGCAGCCTCAGGGAGACGAACATCCCCCCCCCCCCCCCCGCCGTCCCTGCCCTGATCGGTCGCGAGTGGATGATGTCAGCCGGGCGTCGAGGCGGGTCAGGCGCGTGACGTCACAGCGCGCGCCG